ATTGTCAGCTCAATCTCATAAAAGATCTTAGGCACACAATGCAAATATTTTCAAATAATTGCGTTCCATATTAGTGGATTGATGTGATAGTGTACTTAGGTAAGCTAATCTTAAGACAATGCTGAATGTACTGCAACCCAGTATCTTTTGGAGTATATAGTACTTAATTTTCCAATCAATGTTCTTATCCCTCCCCTTATCTTTGCATCAATTAGAGTCCAGTGGTTTTGCTATAATGCACATGCATTGCTTTCAGGAAGTTAGCAAGGATATAAAGAGACAAAAGAAAGACCTGAAACCAGATGAAGTGGAAAATTTAAAGGCTTGTCAGCTTGAATTTGGGAGCTACTGCCTCTGGTCAACAGAACATAAAGTAATTATGAAAGATTCAGTAGTGAAAAGGCTAAAAGACCAACTATTTGTGGCCCGCTCATACTATCCAAGTATTGCCAAGCTTCAAGGACAGGAGGCACTTACTCAGGAAATGAAGCAAAATATACAAGACCATGAGAGGGTTCTCAGTGCATCTGCTGTTGATGCTGATCTGCCATCCTTGTAAGAATACATTTTTAACGGTTAAGCTTTTGTTATCTTTTCGTCATTCATTCCATTGTAAATCTTAAATTTCAGTTATGATGACTAGGTTATGGTACCATATCTTAGCAACACACATCAGACTGAAACGGACATTAGAGTGTTACTCCCTCTTTGAAAATACAGTGTATTTACCTGTCTAAATTTGAACTTTGACCGTAAATTTCTCGTACAATATTTTGTTGTTTTTGTAGAAGTAGTAGAAACCCAACCTGCATATAATTTATCAGTTTTCAATATATGAGTTACTACTTTGATAATTCAAATGACAACTGTGCTATTTCGTTCAGTATCAACAAGAAGATAGAGCAGATGGAGCATACAATAGCAAAAGCGAAATCATGCACTGTGGAATGCCACAATGTTGTCAGGAAGCTTCGGCAGATACTTGATATGACCGATGATGAAGCTCATTTTCATATGAAGCAGAGTGCATTCCTCTACAATCTTGGTTCTCAGACATTGCCAAAAACTCACCACTGTTTCTCTATGAGGTTGACATTGGAATATTTCAAATCCCCTTCATTGGATTCTGATGTTTATCCGGCTCGCAAGTTCAATACCCCAAACCACAGGCACTATGTTATACTATCTAAGAATGTCCTTGCAGCTTCTGTTGTCATCAACTCAACAGTTATCAATTCTAAGGTATGTGGGTGATATTTACAATGACTAGCTTGCTGTTATCTTCTGCTATGGGCATTCCTGATGTTCTTATTGTTCTTGTAGGAGCCAGCAAACAATGTTTTTCATATCCTAACTGATGCTCAAAACTTCTATGGCATGAAATACTGGTTTGCCCGAAATTCATACAAAAAGGCACCTATCCATGTCGTAAACTATGAAGAAATGATTTTAGAGAAGCTACCAAAGTTTAGTACGCGAGAGCTGTATTTGTCTGAGGAGTTTCGTGTTCTCATCAGGAGCACCGAGCGGCCCACTGAGCAGACAAGAATAGAGTACTTGTCATTGTTCAGCCATTCACATTTCTTTATTCCTGAAATATTCAAGGATCTAAAAAAGGTGGTTGTATTGGATGATGATGTGGTTGTTCAACGTGATCTGTCTTTCTTGTGGAAACTTGATATGGGGGACAAGGTAAATGGTGCTGTTGAATTTTGTGGTGTAAGACTGGGTCAAGTGAGAAATCTCCTGGGTAAGACAAAGTATGATCCTAAATCATGTGCATGGATGTCTGGGGTGAATGTGATCAATTTGGATAAATGGAGGAAGCATAAAATAACAGAGAATTACCTGCTGCTCCTTAAACAGGTTGGTATAAGCCTTGTCTGTTGGTTTCATGCTACAGTGTATAAAAAACTTAGCTCGCATAAAAAATGGCATGGAAGAAGATTTGGACAGTTTATATGTGGTGTGAAATTCAGTTTATAATAATTACTTGCATGGAATAGGTAGCATGCTGTATTCATTTTTGTTACTGGGCAAGTATCATCATTGTATTAATTTCTGTGTAATACCGAACAATGGTGCTTCATATGGTTAGGACAATATTTATTCTGCTGTTGTTGTGTTGCAGGTCAAGAAAAAAGACGAGGTATCTCTGAGAGAAGCTGCCTTTTCTTTAAGCCTGTTGTCTTTTCAAAATCTCATCTACCCCCTTGATGGGAGGTCGACTCTGTCTGGACTTGGATATGATTATGGAATCGATCCGGAGGTTGCACAGAGCTCTGCAGCATTGCACTACAATGGCAATATGAAGCCTTGGCTCGAGTTAGGCATACTGGACTACAAGAAGTACTGGAGGAGGTTTCTCACTCGAGAAGATCGATTCATGGATGAGTGCAATGTAAATCCGTAGCACACTTGATCAGAACTATCGACAACAGTTTGAGACATCCACTGGCCTCCTCCTTTGAATCCTTCTCTGTCTGACTGGATGCCTGTAGCTCCCAAGAGTTGCACTGTCATTGGCTACCATCTACAACAAACTACACGCAGCAGTTGAACAGGAGAAGAGGTGCTGCCATTGGCTACCAGTGTCGACAGTATTGAGCAGACGCAGCATCATCTGCCCATTGCATTGAACAGATTGATTGATGGTTTCGGGGTCTTGCGATTTTTTATGTAGCAGGTAAAGGATGATGTCTCGTTGTCCAGATTGTTTGGTCAGATCGTCGATGCAAAGATTCATTTCATATTTCTCTCTTTTGCCAATAAGGGCACACACATGTAATCTCATTTTTTTGGCTGTTAGCTGTAGCGTGGTGATTAATTTTTTGGGGTAGTTCTGCGCCTGTGAAACTGTGGATAACCTGTATATTGTTTGCTATACTTCCTCGCGAGGGGCGCACTCATTTGTTATCCTGAGTGGTGCAGTGTCCATGGCTCCTTTCTGCGTCTGAATTGGTGTGTCCATGATTTGGCATGTATCAGTGCACTGAAGGCATGATTAGCACCTCTAATGGCCATGCTATAGCATGTCAATTGAGTACCTAGGCGTGGAACTGAAACTTGGGCAACGACGAATCTGAAACTGACAACAACGAGCCAGCGAGCAATCACTCGAGCAGATCAAACGACCAATGGCTGATTGAAGAAGCAATCAAATAAGCCCGAAGGAACAAATTAACTTGTAAACCTTGCAAAAATATGTAAAAAAATTTGGTCATCATCTCATCTGAAACGCATGGATGTATTCGAAATAGGGGAATTCCAACATCCTACGTAGCTCCTATTGTTTCGAGGGATCGAGGACATGGCCGGCGAAGACGACGGCGCCGGTCCCCTCGTCCACAATGAAATAGGCAAACGGATGATCGGCGACAAAATCCACCACCGGTGGCGGTTGCCTCGGCCTGGCAGCGCACCCTTCCTGCATAAGACACATGGTGACGGCCGCGGCCCTGGTGCCCTCCTCGTTCACCTCGATGACGGCTTTGTGGACGACCTCGCTCAGGACCAGCGGGAGGCCGGAGCGGTCGTCCTCCGTCATGTCGGACAGGTCGGCCGCCTCGCTGAACGGCAGGCGGAGGCCCAGCTTGTTGAGAGACGCCGACGACGCTGTCGTGGAAGGAGAGCTTGAACCTGGGCACACGGAACTCGCCGACGTCCACCTTCTCAGTAGGCAGGTGCTCGTGCAGGAAGCACGGCCGGGAAGCAATCGCGTCGACCAGGCTGCGCAGGCCGTCGTCGGCGTCCGGGAGGAAGATGCACATGGAGAACTGTGTGGAGCTGGAGCTATAGCTGTAGCTATCATTGGAATGGGAGCCGGCGACGGCGAGTCGGGAAGGTGCGGCAGCATGAGAGAATCGACCAGGACGGCCGAGCGGGGCACGGTTAGGGAAGAACGGGGCGGGCTTCGTGGGATCACGATCAACGTCTCTGGGATGAAACGGCGGGCGCGGGCGCGCGCGCACTTCCCCCATCTTGTACTCGAGCTTGAGCACCTTGAACCCGTCGTGCACGGCCACGAACTGCCTCTTCCAGCTCTGCATGAAGGGCACGTCGACGGCGCCGGCGCCGCCGGCCCGGCGGAACGGCGCGTCGGAGGTGTCGCTCTCGTGGAAGGGCTGGTCCCACTTGCCCTTGAAGTAGACGGCGTTGCCGAGCACGACGCGCGTGAGCTCGCTCACCGAGTTCCGGCCGAGCACGGACTCGATCAGGTTGTTGGTGGCGCGCGCCGCCCACGCGTTGATCAGCTGGCGCGACCCCTCGGGGTCGCCGCGGAAGTCCACGGTGGAGGCCTTGGCCCCGTACGGGCCGTCGACGACGGCCTTGCGGAACGCCGGCTTCAGCGGGCAGGCCATGTCGCTCCAGACGCCGCACGCGAACGCCACGCGCGGGCCGCCGGAGCCCGACTGGTCCTGCAGCGCGGCCCCCGCCGCGCGCGCGACGAACGCGTCGAGCTCGCCGCGGGATGGCACGCCGAGGACGCGGAGGATCTCGTCCAGGGTGGCGCCGCGGGCGCCGGCGGCCACGAGGGCGAGCGCGGTGTAGATGGACAGCGGCGAGAAGACCAGGTTGCTGTTTGCGTGCTTGTCGGCCAGAGCCCGCGCGAGGCTGGCGGATAGCGCCAACAGCCCCTCGGAGCCGGCGGAGACGCCGCCGGCAGGCTGCGGCTGATGCCTCCTCGTCGGCCCGCCTCCTCGGAAGTCCATCGTATCGTATCGAATCGATCGCAGGTTTAGACTTTAGAATCGCTGACGGATCTGATTACTTTGCTTCGGTTGCTGTTACGAGTTGCTAAGAGTTTTTGCTATATTTTTTTTTGACACATTAAACCCCTCTTTATTCGTTGGACATCAAGGTTACATCTTTGATAGGGAGAGGGATTAAATCTAAGACAACGCTAACGCACTACAACATACAGACTGCGCCACATCATCGCATGCATACGTGTGGGATTTTTTTTTAGTTTTTAAAATGTTTTATCTTTTAAATGAAAAATCCGATTGAAGATCCGTTTTCATCATTAAATCTCTCGCGACGAGATCTTTGAAACTAGATCTCATATCAATATATTTTGATGAATTTATTTTTGAGTTAAAAGTTACCATGTCTATTGCACATGAATAGCCATGGTGTTCACACTGAAGTTGCCATGATATATTTTAACTATTTTCTACTATATTTAAAAGTAAATTTTGACATATTATAAAATAAGGAATTAAGAAACTAGACTTGTCATGAACCATAAACTAAAAATTGTCATGATACATGCACTTAAAATTGCCATGGTTCATACAAAAAATAATTTTCATGATCAAAGTACTGGAATTGCCATCATAAAAAAACTAAAATTGCCACATGACAACTTTAGTTTAAACACTATGGCAACTACAGTGTAAATGTCATGGCAATTTTTGGGAAAAAAAATCATTGAAACATATCAATATGGGGTCTAGTTTTGAAGATCTCGTTAAGATGAATTTAATGGTGAAAATAGATTTTTAATTAGGAGATAAAACATTTTTAAGCCGTAAACCAAAAAAATTCCTGCTGATGTCATCTGTTCATACGTGGCAAAATGAGTGGTGATGGAGGCGTGTGAGCGATGTGCAAGATGCCACACATGTGGGCGTTAGTTTTTTCATAAATCTATTGGAGCATCATCTAACCAAGTACTAGGAGTAGAAAACCTTGCTCTTCTAGCTAGATCATGCGCTATAACATTTGCCTCTTTGGGGCAGTGTTCATAAACTACATGAGAAAGATCAATGTACATGTTGTAGCAATCTTCGAAAATTGCAGCCATGGCACTTGCAAAGGACCCGCCCTCTTGCATCATACTGATCATATCAGTATTATCCGAGTTGATAACCAACCTATTGCAACCAACCATCTGTGCTAAATTCAGTCAAAATCTTAGAGCTATAGCTTCAGCTGTAAATACATCTGAGCATAATCCAATCCTCTCATTTGTTGCTGCAACGAAATTACCTTTGTCATCTCTAATGATTGCACCAACTGCCCCTTGGAGTGAATCAGGGTCAAAAGCTGCATCAACATTGAGTTTGACATGTCCCTTCATTGGTTTAGACCAGCCATCATGTTTTACCTTTGCCTTCGGTGAGTTTGAAGTGAAGAAGTTTGTTGCAAGGGTCCGAACTGACATACTAACTTGGCTTGGCGATTTCACCAGCTCTCCATGAACCAACTTTCTTATTTCCCACCAAAGGTACCAGGTTGTCGTCGCCACAATCTCCATGAATCTTGCCTGACCGAGAAGAACGACCTCATAATCAGGAACATTTAGGAGATACTCCAACACCAATCGTCGCATATATGTTCTTCTGTATCGTGTTGGCTCGGGTTTCCTGTTCGATTTCTTTCTCTCCTTTTCCTATACTTACTTATTTTCTCTTTTCCTTTTTTCTAACTTACTAGAGGAACATTGTGCGCTGCAATGAGAGAGAAAAAAAATGCCCGTAGAACATGGCTCAAGATCTACCTATGAATCCAGGTTCTCTATTTCAACATGATGCCCCACCGTGATGAAAAAAAACTTGTTGCCCCACCCGTGTCAACCAACGGAAACAAAAGGAAAACCGTTCTTCAAGGCTTGGTTTTCTAAGAGCAAACATGCCTGCAAGATACAACGGGAGAAGAAAAATACCACACATGTATTCTCTTTCAATACAATGCCCTATTTGTATAGCAGTTTATCATATATCTAGGTGTGTTAACTCTTTACCATAGTCTGAACCTGGATAAACATCATGTCTTTCCTACTTCCTGTGACCATCTAGTCGAGAACACTAGCAGGGGATCCTCTGCTCGAGATCCGATGGTTTTAGCACCGACACCGGTTGGCATTAGGTTTGATTACAGATAAGGAGCTCATGGAGCACCTCGAGGCCAAAGTTAGGGATGGCGGGGCAAGATATTACACTTTGATTGATCGTTTTATATCAATCATAGACATCGGAGAAGGTGTATGCCATACCGATCCTCGAAGCCTTCTAGGTTAGGCGCACATAAATTTGACTGATCATGTGTATCGAAATGATCGCGGATTTGGGCGCACCATGATCCGCAAAAAAAAGTAAGGACGATGCTACACAGCGCGCGCTATGGGTCAGATCTAGCGGCCGGCCATTTTAGGAAAGTTCCCACGCGCGCAACCCCCTCTGCTGGAAAAAGGAAGTTCCTTCCTTCCCCTGCCTTGCCACGCCCCGTCAAAAAAATCCCCCACTTTGCTGCGCGTGATCCCCTATCAAC